CTCTCCCCCTCTCTCCCCCTCTCTCCCCCTCTCTCCCCCTCTCTCCCTCTCTCCCTCTCTCCCTCTCTCCCTCTCTCCCTCTCTCCGTCTCCCTCTTGTCTCTTGTCTCTGTTTTCCTCGGTATACATAACTGGTCATCCATAACATCTCCTTGCTTACAAAGAAATATTATCTTAATGTTCCTAATTTTTCCTTGACTTGTGTCTGTTTTTTTCTGCTACTCAAATGCTTCTTTTATTTCCATTTTATTTGCTCACTCCATAGGCACAAGCCCCTTTTTCCTGTTACCTCTGACCCTCCCATCTTCACTCTGAAACCCTCCCACCACACTCACTCTACACCAATTCTTCAACATCTCAGTCATTCCCCTTTGCCCCATTCATCGACCTTATCTACCAGAAAGTCTATTTCTTTGAGGACAAACTCTTTTTAATTGAATTTTAGGTTTTGGGGTACATGTGAAGAACATGCAAGATTGTTGCATAGGTACACACATGGCAGTGTGATTTGCTGCCTTCCACCCCATCACCTGTATCTGGCATTTCTCCCCATGCCATCTCCCCCCAACTCCCCAGCCCCCGCTGTCCTTCCTCTATTTCCCACCCCCCACAGACCCCAGTGTGTGATGCTCCCCTCCCTGTGTCCATGTGTTTTCATTGTTCAACACCCACCTATGAGTGAGACCATGTGGTGTTTGATTTTCTGTTCTTGTGTCAGTTTGCTGAGAATGATGGTTTCCAGGTTCATCCATGTCCTTACAAAGGACACAAACTCATCGTTTTTTATAGCTGCATAGTATTCTATGGTGCATATGTGCCACATTTTCCCTGAGGAGGAAAAATTCCTTCTATCCTAAATTTATTTTTCACTTCTGTGCAGCTCACTCTAATAAAAATCTGGCTCTCTTTTAGATTACAAGGTGCCTTTTCCAACATAACTACTTACTTCCCTTACTTTCTCCGACTCAGTAGAAAAAACAACCCTTTCCTTGCTCCCACATGGCATTTTCAGATGATCAGGCTGTCGTCTATTTCTCATTGTTTGAAATCTCTGCCCTATCCCACATTTCAGGGAACTATTCTTAACAATCCTACTTGAACGTACTGTTCTTTAAATCTGTCCTCCCATCCTTCTCTCTAGTCTTGGTAGAAATGATACATTAAGAGTCCATAATTCTCCACAGCAGTCTCAAAGTTCTATAAGTTTACCTATTCTATCATTAGAAATATATCACGTTAACCTTAGATATAAATAACCATCTGCTTTTCAAAGTAAACCTTAGCATTAAAAGGTTAGAAGACCTAACGATGGGTGTGTAAGCGGTAGATAAGCTTTTCTCGGCAGATGTTCACTACTTGGAAAATCTTCTAGAAAGAGGATTCTACAATTTCCAACATAGATAATTACAACCTCAAATATTTTTAATTTCAAAATCTTTGACTTTTCTAATCTAAGTTTTCCTGCTGTTTTTCCCTTGTAGGGATTGGAAAAGAACAGGCACCATCCTCAGTATGGCATGACAGCATCTCATCTACTGGAAAAGCATTATTGTCACCCCTGAGCCTTCATTTTTCTAAGCTCAACAACTTGGACTTTTCTCCAGACTCCTGTTCTCCAAGACTAATTTTTTTTAAGAGATGGGGTCTCAGTCTGTCACCCAGACTGTGGTGCAATGGTTTGATCATAGTTCCCTACAGCCTTAAACTCCTGGGCTCACGCTATCCTCCCACCTGAGCCGCCTGCCTAATTAAAAAAAAAAAAAAATTTTTTTCTTTGGTAGAGACAGGGTCTCACTCTGTTGCCCAGGCTGGTCTGGAACACCTAGGCTCAAGTGATCCTCTCACCTCAGCTTCCCAAAGTGTTGGGATTACAGGTGTGAGCCACTGTGCTCAGCCTAAAACTTTGTCTATTCATGTTATTTTTAAATCGCAAAGACCAAACTTAGACTTAACCAGCAACAGCACTTTGTTGTTTCTGTTTTTCTAAATAGTTAACATATAATTGAACGTAGTTCTAAACAGTCAAAACAGAATTGAAACCCGCAAAATTAAAAATTACAGAATTTTCCATATTGCAGAGACCACCTATATTGTCCCTTAGTTGAATCAAACCAAGGATCTAGGATTATAATTAACAAATATGGCTAGATGTATAGCCCCAAAACATTAAAAAGAATGGATACTTACCTGATCTGTCCTTGGATGAAAAATTTTCCTCTAAATTGCAGAGTATAAAGGAAACTGGTTCTCTTTTATGGTTTACCACTATTTCTTCCGCTTTAGTAGAATTTGTGGCCACTTTAAAGAAATAAGCAAAACCAGAATCTTTATGTAACAATTTTAATAATACACGAAGGGAAGGAGAATATATATGCAAATTTCATATGAATGTTTTTCTTTTACTTAGCGATACCTTGTAGGACTTTATAGTAAGAGGCAGAAGTTTCACTTTGTTGAGACGTTTAATTTTTCCCCCTTTAACAACTTTTTAAGTCCCAGGAAAACTATTGTTATTATTTCCAAATAAAATGCTAGGAGTTGGGTTAAGAGGGAAATCAAATTTTATAAAAAGATTAGACGGTGGTAAGGAGTAAAAAGCCATTTCATACCATGCAAACAGGGATTTTGGAAGAAGGACAAGGAATTATATTTCTTTTATCATGAAAGCTACTTTTTACATTTTGTGTTCCCCCCAAGAAAAAAATGTTACACGTATTATCACAGATGGAAGCCTAATATGGCTTGCCATTTTAATAAGGTTGTATTCTTCGTAGGAAAGAAGAGGGAAAAAAGTAGTATATGATCGATCTTCTACTTAGAAAGTTAATTTTCCCAAAGAGCTCTTACTTTATATGGCACTAAGATCAAGGCAATAGCTCAGATCACCTTAATCACATCAAACTGGCATATATTAATAATACAAATTTTTATTCAAGTCAATAGTTAGAATGCAATAATCAATTCTTCAGAAGTGTATGGGCTTTCTGTAGTCACACATAAAATCTTTAAGAATCATATTTTTGCAACACAAAACATCAAAAATTTATCTACCTTCAAATTTGATGCTGGTTTTTAATTTTTCTGATTCACTTTTAGTCTGTTACAAAGTAAAAAGTCAAATTTTCTCCTTTATGTAAAAATAATCATAGAATCATAAAAATGTAGAGTTAGAAAAAAACCTTAGAGAACTTCTAGATGTACAATTCTCTCTAAATCAGAGACTTTCATTTATTTGCCTTACTTAAGGTTACAGAATAAACTGGAGCTGGAACCCTGGAATCCAGAATGTGTTTCCTATGACTTAATGATTCCTCAGACTTATTTAGGTACAACTTAGTGTACCTATGTGAGGCAGCGAGGCACCAGTGTTGAATTTAAAGTCTCTGAATCAGACTGCCCAAGTTTGAATTTTACTAACTGTGTGATCTTAAGCAGGCTACTTCATCCCTCTGTGTTTCAGTTTCTTCATCTGTAAAATGAGATTGGGAATAACTATAATTTCCCAATGGGACTGCTATGAAAAAAATAAATACATGTAAAGCACATGGACTAGTGTCTGCCATATGGTAAGCATTCTGTAAATATGAGCAATGACTAGAATTCTAAAAATAAACACATGGATACTTGCTAGGTTTGTTTATTTATTTAGAGACAGAGTCTTGCTCTGTCACCCAGGCAGGAGTGCAGTGGCATAATCTCAGCTTACTGCAACCTCTGCCTCCTGGGTTCAAGCAATTCTCCTGCCTCAGCCTCCTGAGTAGGTGGGACTACCAGCATACGCCACCACGCCCAGCTAATTTTTGTATTTTTAATAGAGACAGGCTTTTATCATGTTGGCCAGGCTGGTCTGAAACTCCTGAACTCAAGTGATCTGCCCACCTCAGCCTCCCAAGAGCTAAGATTACAGGTGTGAGCCACTGCACCTGGCTTGTACTTGCTAGGTTTTAAAATAGCCTAATTATACTACAACTGGAATAGTGGATCATTTTTGAGTTTTCAATACACATATATGCACTTGCTGATATTCCATTGTGGCACAGTCGTGTAGCCAAAGGAATGGTTTTTCACAGAATACATACACAATTCCAAATATTAAACACATAACTGAATTCACTTAAAAACTGAATACCATTCACTTGGTGATCGTTTGGGCCCATTAATATACTTAGAATATCTGACATCCAGAGGGATTAAAAAATTTTTTTTAGACAGGGTATAACTCTGTCACCCAGGCTGGAGTGCGGTGGTGCAATCTTGGCTTACTGCAACCTTCCAAGCTCAAGCCATCCTCCCACCTCGGCCTCCCAAGTAGCTGGGACCACAGTTGCACGCCATCACACCTGGCTAATTTTGAAAATATTTTGGTGGAGAAGGGGTTTCACCATGTTGCCCAGGCTGGTCTTGAACTCCTGAACTCAAGTGATCTACCCGCCTGTGCCTCCCAAAGTGCTAGGATTACAGGTGTGAGCCACTGTACCCAGCCAGTGGGATCATTTATTATTTCCTTTTCCTCTATGTAATAAAATTATTTTTCAGTAATAATCATGTAATAAAAAAAAGGAGATTGTTTTTTATTGTTTTTGTTCAACTCCACTTATATACCAATAGAAAATAAAATATGTATTACAGTACTAAAGAGGAAATTGTAATGAAATTAATGTTTTCAAAAAATGAAAAACATATGCCTACATACTGGTTTGTTTGTAGTACTAAAAAACATTACACCTCTTATTTTCTTGATTTCTTTTTTAGTTTTGAAGCAACTATTAACAATGAAAAAAGAAAAAAATTCAAAGTTATTATTTGAATCAATTATTCAAGAGGGGGCCAGGTGCAGTGGCTCATGTCTGTAATCACAGCACTTTGGGAGGCTGAGGTGGGTGGATCACTTTAAGTCAGGAGTTGGAGACCAGCCTGGCAAACATGATGAAACCCTGTCTCTACTGAAAAAAATACAAAAATTACCTAGGCGTGGTGGTGGGCATCTGTAGTCCCAGCTACTTGGGAGGCTGAGGCAGGAGAATTGCTTGAACCGGGGAGGTGGAGGCTATAGTCAGCTGTGATCGTGCCACTGCCCTCCAGCCTGTGCAACACGGTGAGGCCCTGTTTAAAAAAAATTATTCAAGAGGATAATTTCATGAAACAAAAATAGTATACCTCAAAGTTTGCACTATGTTTCACTCTTAAATTTTATAAACAAAAACTCTTAAATGGTCGCATAGAACGCTGTTGAAGTAATCAAGCTCGGTTTCTTCATTCTTACGATCACTGTGCTACCATTGTTTACAAAGAATCTACTGTTTAAATGTAAGAATATGGACCAGCAGGGTTGCAAACATGAATTGTGCCTTAGGTCTTGAACTACCCTGAACTTTTATGAGTTTACTTGGAAATATATACAATAGCTGAATCTTCGTTTATTGAAGAACAATTATGAGTCGGAGTTCTCTAATTTCCATGTAGAATATACTGTTTATTAAAAAATAATTAAAATGTGCTGATTTGAAGTTTAAACTTGTATACTAAAACTTAACAGAAACTACAGAAATTGTTTAAAATCTAGATCCATAAGAGATTTTTCATGGAAGACTATTTTAGTATTGACATGGTTTAGAATTATTGGTACACAAAAATTACTGGAAATAAACAGACTTTTAGTGGGTTTATTGTAGTTTAACTTCTCTACAGATAATGAGAATTATTATTGTGCATACCCAAGATCTACCATACTTACTGCCCCACCCTTGGTATGCCATTCGAGGTAAAATCTGCTCTAAGTACTATCTTTGAAGATGGGCTTGCTGCAGTAAGTATACTTAACCTTACAATTAATGTTTATTAAGAGCCTACTGAGCACATCGTATTGTGCTTCATACTTCATCCACACAGACTGCATCCACATGAATGTCACTAGTTCCTAGACAATCATATTTATTCACTAAAGCCATCTCAGCAAGATTTTAAAAAAAGACTTAGCTATTATTGTGTGTACTCAAATTTTAAATAAATATCACACAAAGTCACATATATTCCATTTTCAGGCTTCTACCAAGCCAGATTGGCTTTCCACCTGTACATTCCAAATAAGTGAGGTTGTATTATAATTTAACATTTAGAACAGCTTTCAAAATATTAACATTATATCAACATTAACAATTTAAGGACTTCGGACATTATTCAAATTTTCACAAATCATGTGGCATCAGATTCACGTGTTGTATTTTCACAAGCAACTGTCTCAAGAGAACAAAAGTTTTAACTCTGCTCTAAATCTTTTTCAGGCATTCACAGGATCAACACAATCTCTAATCTATCCTCCCAAAATCTTGCAAGCTACATACATGTACAAACTTTCCATTTACATGAAAATTTACGTAAATTTTCCCGGTACTCTTGAAAAGGCAGTCTTATTAACTAAAAGAAAATTTGACTTACCTCAAAAGATATCTTGGTACGGGATAGAATGTCAACTAGAGCCACGTTAGAAACAAACAGGTATGCTTGGCAAGAAGGTGAAATTCCAAGCTTAAACCCGCAGTTCCACTCCTGCCTCACAGCTCCACTCCTGCCTCACAGCTCCACTCCTGCCTCACAGCTCCACTCCTGCCTCACAGCTCCACTCCTGCCTCACAGCGCCTATACTTTCCTGTGGCTACCAAGCTCCTTTACTCACAAAATTCCCTCTCATTAGCCACCTGCAGTGTACTGCAGCGGCACCTGTACTATTTATAGCTGTTAGGATTCCCCACCCTCTCCGGTCAATAAGAATCACCTGAGGCAGTTAAAAATAAAAATAAAAATCACAAGTCAATCTCTGATAGCAGATTTCAAGAGGTTTGAAAGGAGGCTCCAGAATCCGATTTTTTTTTTTCTAATCAGCTGAATTTATGACTCACACAATCAGATTTTAAGTAAGTGTTCCCAAGTGAGTCTTATAAGCCAGGAAAGTTCAAGAATAATGCTCCAAGTGAAAGTGAGATCTGGCAGATCTTCACAGTTCCTCTAGACTGATTAGCCTCAAGAGCTAATCCTCCTCAGCTGTTAGGCCTTAGGGTATTTGAAAACAAGAGAAGGCCCAGTTTCAAGAATGCAGAATGGCATCTTGTCCACACTTGATTTAAGTTTTTAATTAAAAAATTTAACAAAGGGAGATTTTAGTTTGGGGAGTTGCTGTGAAGCAGGACATCACCAGGGGGCAGCATAAATTATACGTTCGGGAGTTTTTCACTTCACACTACAACCCGAAATGGTTGCACCTATAATTTCCATGAACTCGGATTACTCAAAAAAGAAGAAAATCCAGAACACTTAAAAGACGTAAGTAAACGTTATTAGCGTGTAATTTTCAATAGAAGGTGTTTATAAATAGCCATTGTAGAAAAAATGTTTCCTTGAAGTAGCATGAACCCGAATTCAAAAAAATTTTATTAGAATACAAAGATTCCTGGTAGAAATTTCAAGTGGACTTCAAATTTCTCTCAGCAAGTTTCAAAATGCTTGTCGCAGTCTAAGAGTTAATTAGCGTTATAACTGGATGCTTCTCGATGGTTTTAATCAAATCTTAAGTAGAGTTCTACGGAGGGGGAAAACGGAGGGGATGACAATTTGGGCAAGTGATGCCGAAGCTTTCTCTAAATAAAGTGTAGTAGTTAAAATGCGGCCACCGACTGTCAGAAAACTGTAGCTCTACTCCCATGAATCTTCCATTAATTTTTCTTTTTTTTTTTTTTTTGGAGACGGAGTTTCGCTCTTGTTACCCAGGCTGGAGGGCAATGGCGCGATCTCGGCTCACCGCAACCTCCGCCTCCTGGGTTCAAGCAATTCTCCTGCCTCAGCCTCCTGAGTAGCTGGGATTACAGGCACGCGCCACCATGCCCAGCTAATGTTTTGTAATTTTAGTAGAGACGGGGTTTCACCATGTTGACCAGGATGGTCTTGATCTCTTGACCTCGTGATCCACCCGCCTCGGCCTCCCAAAGTGCTGGGATTACAGGCGTGAGCCACCGCGCCCGGCCTCCCATTAATTTTTCTTAACCCATCTCCATTTTCTCTTTTCTAGTCCACAATTGTTCGCCTAGAAATGTAGAAAAAATCCTTTGGCAACCCAAATAGCTTCTACAAGTATCACCTCCAAGTGTTTTTTTTCCTCTGAAATTCCACCATTAGAGTAGGAAATGCTGAAAGGCGAGGGAGGATCTGAAGAAATTACATTTTTTTTTCCAGTTCGCCAAAAGTAGATACTCCCTGTATAGATATTCCCGTATAATCCAAGGAAGGTGTAATCCAAGACTCTGGGGCAATTCCATGAGGTGGTTTTGAAGTCCTTCAACTCTACCATTTCGATTATTTCCATGCTAAAAAAGCTACGGCAGGAAGAAAAGACAAAGGACATTCCCGGGAGGCCAAGTGGACCTAACCGAATAAAAACACTTTAGAAGAGGTACAATAATAAAAAATCAAGGCTATCTGCAGAGCCAAAAGCCCTTCTGAAACTTCTTGTCCTAGAAAGATGAGTTTCCCAATTTTTCAAATATTTTAACATAAAAATGGCAACACCCTATAGGAAAATGGCTATGATTTTTAGCAAGAATTGGTGAAGGCAAACGATAATAAGCTACTATGAATCCAGAAGCTGCTTAAATGGCCTGATTCACAGCAGACCTTGCAGACATTAATTAGAGATGTACGCATTATGTGTGAGGATTTTTTTTTTTTAATGACAGAGAATATCTGTGGGTGCATCCAGATTGCTCAGTGGCTCCCCTTAACCCACCCGCTAACTGGAAACCATGGCCCTAGGACGAGCTTCTCCACCCGGGCGATGCTGCCTCAAGGGGCGCAATGTTACTCTTTTTATGCATCAAGCACAGACACACACACACAGCACATACGCAGGTCGGCAGCGTATCTGCGGTACTGGAATTTCATGAGGAAGGAGACGGGGGGCGTGTAAAAAGCCTTTTTAAGAGTGAGATTATGAACCGTGGAAAAGGAGAAACACGGTCCTACAAGGGTCCTGAGCGGAGGCCATGAAATGAATGTACTGACAGAGTATTCTCTCCCAGGCAGCGGACTGAGAGTCGGGGGGCTCTGACTGTGCCTTGACTCCGGCCACACACAAAGAGGCGTTTTTCCCTCGGTGGCGTCCAAGCCCAGGGGGCACTGCGTGCCGTCCGCTCCCTCACGGGGCGCCCAGCGCGGATGAACGCGGGGGACTGGGAAACAGCTTTGGAAGCGGCAGAGCGCTGCGCCAAAGCGACGGGAGGTTCCCATTCTCAGCGGTACGAAACCCCCCGGGTCCTCCGCGCCCCGGAGCGGCGCCCTCGGCCTCCGCACTTGTTGCTTCCGCGCCCCGCCTGCCTCCCCCTCAGACCCACCCTTCGCGGCCCCCTCGCCTCTCCACACGCTCGTACTCGGGCTGCGACGCTGCCCCGCGACGCCCCACCCACGCCACGAAGCCCGCGCTCTGCGTGGCAGCCCCGGAGGCGGCCGAAGCCCCGACCCCTGCCCAGCTCGGGCCACCAGCCAGTGCCCGCCGACGCCGTGGTTTCCTAGACAGCCGCGCCGCCGTTCCGCAGCCTCGGGAGCGAGCGCGCGCGCGGCCAGCGGGAGGCGAGGGCGCAGGCGCGGGCCCGGCCAAGCCGCCAGCGCGAGACCGCGCGCGCGCCCCCGAGCGCGGTGGGCGGAGGGGCGGAGGGAGCGGCGGGGCCGCGAGGGGGCGGGGGGGCGGAGAGGGGAGCCCCGGGAGCGCGAGCCGCGGCCGGCGCCGCTGCAGAGCCAAGCGAATCCCGAGCCCGGGCAGCAGGTATGTGTCCTCGCAGCCGGCCGCGGCCGGAGCTTCCCCTGCCTCACTGCCCGAGTCCTGTGGTCGGGGCGGGGGGTGGGGGTGCCGGTCAAGGTTTGCAGGATGAGTGCCCGGAAGGGCTGGGATCTTGCCGCTGACCTTCATCCCCCTGGCCGGGGGAGCCAGGCGAGGGTGCGTGGGGCAGCCCAGGGCTTCAGCTCCAGCTTGGGGACCTGCTTCTTGTCACATGCTTCTTATTTATTTTTTCAAACTGCCCTGGTTCGGGTCCAGCTGCCGATGCTTTACCTCCCCTTCTTTGCCTCCGTGTGCCATCTTGCATTTATTAATAAAACATGCAAGTCGGGGGGGGAGGTTGCTGCTGGGGGGAATCCCATTGCAGTATGGCAAGCGAGCGCCTATTTTCGGTTTTCAGACGTGGTATAGAGGTGGAAATCCCACACCCTGGGGATTTGTGGTTTGGTTGGTCGTGACCACTTTCTAGTGGGCTTCCCCCATTTGTCGGGAGGTGCCCCCGCGGCAGGATGGACTGTCTGGAAAGAATGGTGGGTTTTCACCATCAGGCCAGAATCCCCTTCAGGGGACAGGTGCAAGCTAGGGCAGGCAGTTCCCTGCTTGCTAACTTGCCAGGGAGGCTTAAACCTTGAAAATTGTCTCTCTTGATGGCCGAGAAAAGGCCTTCAACAGAATCCCTGGGACTTACATACTCAAACTCATTACGGTTTTGCATCTGAACATGACTAAAGCTAGCCACCTGTTGGAAGTCAGACCCCATGAAGCCCCCCATAATCTAGCTCACTAATCCCTGTTTCACAGTCACCAATACTGAGATAGCAATAGGCCCATATGGGTTCTTTCTATCCTCTTTAATGCTGCCTGGCTTTTGTTTCTTTTAAAATAAAACTACCTATGATTTGATGCCCTATATGTTAGAGGTTGAAATTATATGATTTGTTAATATTCCATACACCTATCACATCATATCCTAAAGACTGAATTTCTCTTCAGTGCCTATGTTTATTTCCCTGGCTTGTCACCTTGCTTTGAGCAACAGTGGGAAAAGTGGGATGTGTATAATTGCTTACCTCCTCCCCCTACCCTAAAATATTGTGATGAAAAGAATAGTAAGAGCTAGAAGTAAAAAATGAAAGTGGGGTATCACAAGATGTTGGGATATGATAGTTGAACTGTAATTGCTTCTAAAATATGTCAGAGTGTCACATCTAATCACGAGAAGGACACGTTTCTTCAGTGTTCATACGTACCAGGTACTGAGCTAAAACTATTTGTATATGATCTTAATTAGTCCTCACAACAAACCTCTTATGTCCATGTAGAAGATGAACAAGCTAGGACTTAGAAAGGTTAAATAACTTGCCCAAGGTCACACAGTCAGGGACAGGGTGAGGATGCAAACTCAGGCGCATGGGAATACTAGAAGTGGGGAGCCCCGAGGGGGCTTTTAATCCAGGTGCTGCTGCTCCATGTGCCTTTTCATTAAAATCAAGCTTATGCATGAGCACATTGGCTTGGGTCCGATTTTCCATTTCATAGATCCCACACCAACTCTGTGGCTTTCCAGTAAGAAAAGCTGTTGTTTCAGAATGGGTCAGTATGGAATTTTTTGAGGTGGCACTGAGCCTATAAAAAGTGGGGTCCAAGATGTGCTTCCATTTAATTCTGCCATACAAGGAGTTAAAGTTGTTTCCCTCCAGATTTAAACCTATAACACATATATGCATCAAGTAGACTG